GAGTTTATTTCTCTAGGATACTAATACGTATTAAAATACACATGTCATTTACCCTGTCTTCTGAAATATAACCCATAGAACCTGGTAAATAAAGTATTTGGTTCATTAGGATGTGAATTTGAGTCTAGGTAAAACCTAAACGCTGTTTGAATACCACAGTGGTAAGAGTTGCCTTGTGATTATTCCTGGGGGTGTCACACTTCTGTGGCAATGGAGAGCCCTGATCATAATGGCTGGGGCAATACCAGGTTTGGGGACAAAACCTTAACTCTGAACATGTAGAGCTGGAGAGGTGTCGGAAGAGCACTGAGAGAGGTCTTAGTTCTCCAGGAGGTAGTTCTCTGCTCTGCTTATCCACACCCCTATTTTAATAAAAAGCATAAACAGGGATAGTTGTTAACTATTTGAAACTTAGAATGCAGTATAAGAATGGAAAATTACAGCAAGCTTCTTATTTACTACGCTGCATTTTAATAAGTATAAAGTACAGCTCAAAAAGATAAAGTTGCAGATAAAGTTTTCCTATTACTTCATATCTCCTGTGCCTTAAAAATTTTTGATTGACCATGAATCATGCCTGAGTGTCTTAACTTTTAGTATTTATTTTTCATTTTTTATAGTTCAACATTCAAGTTTTCATGCTTTCTTCTTTCCATTGGTTTTCTCCTTTGGTCTCAGCTTTATATGCAAATCCAAGCTGAGAGCTTCTTCTCATATAGTTTTGTCTGTTGATTTTTAAAGTCAGATTTTAGTTTCCTATTATAATAACAAATTTAATATACTTGGTCTATTTAATAACTTGGTATATTCTTAATACTTTGATACGTTTTTATCCCTATTCGTTATTCACTAATCATTAGTTATTTTTCTAAGACTTTTATTATGTTCATGTTTCAAATGTATCGTTGTTATTTAAAATTTCATGTTATTTGGGGGAATGTTGCCTTGATATATTTATTATCAGAATAAATTATATATTTATTATCAGAATAAATTATTTTTATAGCTAAGTTTTAGCAATTATAATATATTTACAATTATGCTAAATAAGGCAAATTTAAAATCATTAGCTGAATATGGAACATAAAATAATCTTATGCTTAACACATAAAGTGTGCTAAGGTATAGCCTGAACACTGATAAAACAAAGCATTACTCATATAGGAGTCAGACAGAAAACTAAACCTTAAGCTGTAGAAATAGGTCAGTTAGACTTCCAGATAATTTTAGAACAGTGAAATCCGAGAAACTGCAAAATCTCAAATTACAAAGCATCAGAGTAAGATGATGACTTTTGTGGAACTTTCCTTCAAAATAGAAGGTTTAATGATAGGTAACATTTCTCTCAATTGATATTAGAGACCACACCTAAAACTACAGGGGTTTTTTTCCTTCCTTGTAGAAAAACAAGAATGACAGTACCTAATGGCAGGGATTTTGAGGTATGAGTAAAATATTTGTGGTGGGAATCCAGAATCACTACCTGGGTCAATCATAATGTGATGGTGCTAAACATTTTCCTTTCCCTAGACCAGATCAATGGTAGCAAAGGTTCCTTTCCTGGTATCCTGGATGGGTGTACTTTAGATATTTATTGTAGACAGGCCATGTATTGATGAAAATTTTAAATTAGATGATTGGCAGAAGGAAATACATTCAGGAATAGTGGAAGGGACAGGAGTGTAGTCTCAGGCTGGGGAAGGAAAAGGAAGTAGGCAGCCTACTTTTTCCAGGAAATGCCATTCACATCCATCTTATCTTCAATAGCACAACATTAAGGGAAGCTCTGTGGAATAAGCTCTTCCAATGATGTACTTTTTTACCAAGTCCAAAAATAAATTTAAATATTAGTTTATAGAGAAAGACTTGTTTTACAAGCGTTAAAGGCTCAATCTGCTATCATAACTATTAATAAACAATTTGCTAGAATAATCCCACTAAACCTCAAACTTTTCAAGCTAAAATGTAAAATATATATTTACCTGGTTGTGTTTGTGGGATTCTTGGGCGTGGTGATGTTTTTGGCTTAGGAGGAGCATGCGTTGTCTGCTTGGGAGCTAAAAGAAAGGATACAGGTTTGGAAATCTTGAGCCCTTCAAGAATGGCAGTACCTAAGCTCAAAGATGTTTACTGAGTGACTGACGACCTCAATGCCCAACAATGAGTGCTCCTAAAGATCTGCAGAGTATAGGAAGATAACTTTTTTATGTAACAGAAAACAAAAGTCACATTAAATGATATCTAAGATGTTCGGCTGGCAAAATGAAACTTGAGATTTCAGAAATATTGACATCAAATACCTTTTAAATAGTTTGAGGATAAATTTTATAATAACAAGCATTCATCCTTATAAGTTCATATAATTTTATCAGAATATTTTGTTGTACTATTTTAAATGCAAATACATGTTTTCTAAATAAAAAAACAAAGTTAACATATTATATTCCAAATATATAATGTATTTTAATAGCAAGTGCTAAGGGAAACATTAATCTTACTAAACAAAATGCAGTTTTAATTGGCTATATAGGGGAAGAGAAATTGAACACCAAGAATATTTTCTATGGAGAGTCATTCCTTTGCTGGGCAAATCCTAAAGAAATTCTAGGACATTCAGTGTAAAAATCAATTTTTTCTTCACCAAAAAAATGAAAAATCTATCCTGCTAAAGGAAAAGAATTATCAGATGCAAGGTGGCAGCTTGTGGAAAAACCTCATTTGGTTGAACTAAAGTGTGTTTGGGATAAAGAAAGGTAAAGATAAACATGGTAAGCGTCAGACACCTTAAGAAAAACTTGCTGAAAATAAGGGTTATTTGACACCAGAAGTTTCTGAAGGAGTCTGTAGAATCTTCTTCCTGATACTAAATGAAAAAATGCAAGGAATACAATGATTTCAGTGGAATCTTCTTTCCTGTAGAGAGATGAATACTGATATATGTTGGAGATGACCTGGTTTAGAAGCCTGGAACTTAGGGGTTTAGAGCCCCCTTTGCTAATCACTGGATATACAGTCTCAGGTTCTTCATCAAAAGTGATACAATTTTTAAGAAGCCTCCCAATCTTAAAATTCTGTGATTCTAGAGTTTCTCATAGTTTGTGATTTTCTGATTCTCAACTACCCTACTTGCTAAGGTTCTAACTGATGTGCTACTTACTTTCCCCAGAAAATAAGAAAGACCATCTGAAGGTTAGGCATGTCATGAAGCAATTCCATGGAAAATGATACAGAATGAGATAAGAACCACTAATAACACTAATTGCAAGGAGACATTCCAATAATATTAATTATAGTTATTAAGAACAAAATTTGGAAAAGTTTGGTATAACTGACAGATTCCATTATTTTAGTCAATGTAGATTTTTTTTAATTTTGGTTAAAAAACTGTAGGGTTTATAGGCAACATTTACTAGGATATTTAGCAGACAATGAGTAAACTTAATATCCACGTCTCCCCTGGAAGCAGAGCCATATAAAAATATTTAATGACACTTAAAAAAGAAGTTTAGGCTTATTTATAACCCTCTATTCCATTGAAACCTATAGCTATTAAGAGAATTTTTTATAATTAGGAGGCATATTTAGATACTCATGTTGATTATTTTTCCTTCCTTTCAAACTCTAATATGAGAAGCCAAATTAATTGGTTTGTTTCAGTTTTTCTTATTTGTATGCAGTGAAATGGCCAAAGCAGTGCAGAAAGGAGTGGAAGGAAGTCAGGTATCTGAATAACTACAAGGTGACTGGCCAGTACATCCCCTTACATGTGGTTTGCACAGTCAAACCTGTTTCTGGAGGTTTCTTTTAATGTCAAAAGCAAATTAGAAAGTTTAAATTACTTTTTACCTGATCACAGAACTTGTAAAACTAATTGAGATGAATCAGAATTAAAATTCGAATATATACATTTAAAAATAGATCAGAATATAAATGTTCTTCCCCAGAAGCATTCCTATTCCCTGAATTAAACACTTGAAGAGTAGCTGAGAGGTGTTTCAACCATATGCTAAAGAACAACCCTGCCATTTGAGTAATTATCAATGATAGCGGGACATCCGCGAGGTAGGATTACCCATCAAAGACTGTGGGCAGAGTGATAAAGTCAGGGCCTCTGGTGGCTTGAGGTGACCGCACTGACATTCTGCAAACACTCACCTCACATACGATATAGAAAATAATGTATTTACCGGGTTCAGTCTGAGGCTCATCTGGGCTGGGTAGGATTATAGATTGAGAAGGCAGAGGAGACGTTTCTATGGTAATTGGAGGAAAGTACACTGGTTACTATAGCACTCCACGGACTTTGAGTACAGTTGACAGGCCAGATGGCAACAAATAGATTTTTCAAAATAAAGAAAATTGCAAGTCTGCAGCAAAACAGCATTCCTACTCCTTCATAAGGCATCTGGTTAAAAAAAAAAAAGCTTGTAGATGCAGCTTATAAAGTACTTCTAAAACCCTCATTTCACAGGACTCTACCTCAACAATGCTAGAAAGATATATTCAATAGGAATCATGACGGGATAAAGGAATTTTTAAAGTATTATAGCATGAGTCAGTTAAGCAGCACTCAATTTCACTTAAAGAATGGAGAAAAAAGCCGCATGTGTAAATAAACGTGATGGGATGAGTGTTAATTGCAAGTATGTTGCTAGGTCAGAAAGTATAAACCGATCATCACACCAAAGAAGCATGATCTGAAACATTCAATACAAGGCCAAGCTGGCAGAATGTTCCATGTTAGGAAAAAAAGTATTTTAGATTCAATAGTTCTGCTGACCAATGTAGAGAAAAAAGCAAAGTCTTGTTACACAATTGAATTGACGGAAAGACATTTTTGGACAGTGGTTATGGATAGGAGCACCTTGAAAGAAAAGTAACTGCTATGGCAAAGAGTGATGGTGTAACATGAATTCACAATGAGAGAGACCCAGAGGTTCTCAGGTGGTGGCGGCAATGAGGACAGAAAGCACATAGGGCTAGGCTACTGAGAATATTACCTAGTGTGGTCTCAGGTGGTTCAGACACATATGTAATAGATTCCACAACTGTACCAAAACAAAGGAGAACAATTTTAGAAACCATAAGATATTAAGCTGTAAAGTATTTTTTTTTTGAATATCAAATTTTGTTAAGAACTTGCCTAGTAATTTTACAGATAGGACAATAGACAGGAAAAAAGAATTAGGAGAAAAATCTATTCTGTAATATGAACCCTTCAATTAATATGTTTTAACTGTCATTAACCGGGTTTCAAATGTTACTATGCCTTAACCTTTAGACTTGAACAGAGAGACCAGAATTTACTTCTGTATTCAGAGACAGTCAATCATCACTTTAAGAATTCAAGAATGTTGGAAGCTACAGCTCTTCAAAATCTGTTTAATTGTAGGAATCAAGAAACACAGCTTGAACTTTCATATTCCATGGAGGTAACTCATGTTCATTTAGAACGTGTGGAATAAATGAATCAACGCGTAAAAACCTTTGCTACCTTCAGTCTTTGACTCCTCTGGCCAGAGTGGTGCTTTGGCAGTGGGATATACATAGTCTGTTTTGGCTGGTGCTAGGGAAGAAATGGGAATTGCTGGTTAGCGATGGGCAACCCAAAGCATACTGTAATAGAACGCTGCGTTTAATTTGAAAATAGAACTGAGCTATCTTAAGCAGATTCATTCTTGAGATTAATAGTTAGGTAGATTTTGAAGATAACTCCAGTTTAGGAGGGCAGAAATGAAAGCAGGAAATGAAGGCAGTGTGCTACGGGGGAAACACGCATACCCCATACATAATATATGCGAAGCCAACAACAATTCTACCGGGAACAAAGCAGATAATTCCCCTTCCATTTTTTTTTTCATGTAAGAATTCCAGTAAGAAACACACATAGAATGAGTACTTGGAGAGCAAAAGCATGGATAAATCCAAAAAGTGATATGAAAATGAAAAATAGGTTATGCGTATATGTACACATTTATATTGAAAGAGCAATCAGAATTAAAAGGTTAAAATATTCAAGTGAGAATAAGGAAATTATGAAACTTGCATAGCAATACAGCAGATATAAACACAATTGTGCTGTATACAACATTCAAGACCCATTGGATGAGCACAGACAAGCTGTGAGGAGCAGGTGGCTATGAAATGTCACAAAGCATGAGGACATCCAGAGATGACTTTTGCGATGAGATGAAAAAGCACATATGCTTGACTTCCCATTGGGGAATAGTTTTACCTATAGTCTCCTTTGGTGACTCAGTGCTAAATGTAACCGATTCCAGAACATCAGAAACTATTAAAAAAACAGAAAATAGTACAGTTGATCAAGGATAGGTTGTAAGTATTTACAAAAATGCTTTGCATCCAGTAAGTGCTCAGTTAACTGTTAGGATAACAACATTATTAACACTAAGGGAAGTCCTCGTAACTGAACTGAATTCACAACATTATAACTACTGTAGGTTACCATTAACAACCTACTTTGTACATTCAACGTGAGTACCAAAATGTCATTTATCTAATTAAAAGACACTCAAAAGAGATGGAAAGAAATTACAATCCTATGCTAGAAAAGAAATAGGATCCAATGTTTAATTTATTTGAGACAGAGTCATGCTCTGTCACCCATGCTGGAGTATAGTGGCATGGTCTGGGCTCACTGCAACCTCTGCCTCCCAGGTTCGAGCGATTCTCCTGCCTCAGCCTCTCAAGTAGCTGGGACTACAGGCGTGCACTATTACGCTTGGCTAATTTTTGCATTTTTAGGAGAGACAGGGTTTCACCATGTTGGCCAGCCTAGTCTAGAACTATTGACCTTGTGATCCACCCACCCTGGCCTCCCAAAGTGCTGGGATTATAGGTGTGAGCTACCATGCCCTGCCTGTTTACAAGTTTGAAGGGCAGTATGTTTTGAAGGGCTCACATGTTTAAGAAGAAGTTTTACTATTTTTACTGAAGTGAGAAATCTCTTTCCTTGATGGTCACAACTGAACTAGTGGTTCTTTTAACACAAATTTAATTTACTATTAAAGAGAGCCACAAACATGTAACTGTTGAAAAATATAAGAATAAAGAATAAAATTAGTTCTTCTAAGTGGTTTTGTCAACCACTTAATCAGAGATGTGACTATTTTCTAGAATGATACAGAGCAAATGCAATGAAAAGTTTTTTGTACATTCAAGTAGCAATATTAATGTATTACTAATTTAACAATATGAAATCACACAAAAAGAGCACTGTGCAATATTTATAGAGTTATTAAATGTGTATTCCTTTTTCACTTTTTTAATCTTTGGAAATATAGAGGATTACAGTATGCCTCTTGAAGCACACAGTACACCCAGACAGATAAATTAATCTATTTACCCGGTTGACTTTGTGTCATTTCTAGGCTTGGCGATGTCACTGGTTTCAAAATAAGAGTTTGCAGTTCAGTGGGAGCTGAAAGAAGAGGGTCTAAATTGTAAAAATAATTTTAAGTTATTTCATAGATTTTAGACAGAGGTAGCAATGAACTGAAAGACACAGACCCTGAAAATCATGAGGTTATGGAGAGCCATGCAGAATGTGCCCTATTTAAAGCAGAAGTCCCCAGACTATAGCCCTTCCAAGTCTAGCCCTCTGCCTGGCTCATGAGCCAATATTGGTTCTCACATTAAGTGTTGGGAAAAAATGAAAAGTGATACTTCATGACATGTGAAAATGGTATGCAATTCAAATAAAGTTTTATTGGAACACACAGTCATATGGTGAACTAAAACAGTTCCGGGCATACTTATGTATCAACTTTGGTTGCCTTCATGCTAAAACAGGACAATTGAGTAGTTGTAACAGAAACTGAATGGCCTACAAATTCTAAACTAGTTACTGTTTAAGTTTCCACAGAAAAAAAAATTGTTGACTCCTGATTCAAAGTGTCCTTCTAAAAAATCAGGAACCTATTTAAGTTCTCATGGACTACTGTATCTGAAATCTCAGTTCCCACAAGAGCTAAGAGCTGCCTATAGCTGATTTCATGATAGTAACATTAACGAAATGTTGAATCTCATCCAGGAGCATTTTGCTCCATATTTTAGTTTCACCATCTCCTTAGTCACACTTAACAAGTATTGACACTTGTTTTTTGTGCTGTTCCCACTCTTCCACCCTCTAATCCAAATCCTATAATTATTTCCAAGCCCAACTACTCTATCAGCAGCTCACATTGTTTCTTGACTCGGTAAATATTTGTTTTACTACTCAATTAAATAAGCAGTTTTCATATGAGGAAATTGCGCTATTATCTAGAAAAGTGTATCTAAGGAAACCTTAGGTTTTCTTCACAATTACTTTGTGGTTTAAGAGGTAAACTATGTCTTTTCTTTTGGTTTCTACCTCTGCTCCTTACTCCACCCCACCCAACTGCTAATACGGTGCTGGGTACACAGAGAATGAGGAAATGATTATTTTCTTAAGCAAAAGTAGCAGCACCTGTGAGAAAGAGATGAATGAAATGGAATAAGAGAACTTTATAAGATCCATCCTTTGTTAGATACAGTCCTTATGTAGAGCACACCATGAATTTAGCCACCGCATAGATCTCCCTGAGCTATGAACCTAATGATGGGCCCTATAATTGCCCAGCTGTTGACCACTGTAAGTGCCTTTTCTCTCAGAAGGCACAGAAATGGGAAGATGTTCAAGCCTATTGTCATTCCTGTGATTAAACTGTAATGGGCTAGAAGGACTCCTTAAACCTTCTAAAGCCTAAACCACAGATTTTCCTTACTTCAAATGAGAGGCTTTAGGGAGTTTAAGGTCTGAGAGATGGAATAACCCCTATTCATCCTCCTTTACATTTCTGAAACTACAAGATGACGATCTTGGGTTGCTATGGTGTTTGTAGGTCTGGAAATCATGGAAAGCATTATATGTAGACCTATGTTTTCTATAACATATTTTCTTGAGTTTATTTTCTAAATTAAAAAATTACTACTTTGTTTCTGATCACCACTAAGTGTTCCTTTAGAGACCTAAATCACATATGAAGTGATTAAAGAAATAAATACTGAACATGCATAGACATTCAAAGGGATTCCTACTTAGCAAAGATTAAGAGCCATTGCTAAACTGTGGTGAAGAAGAGTGGTCAAGCTCGTCAATGATTGAGGAGCCTGGAACTTTCAGGGAAAAACTACTTTTTATGCTAATGTAACAGGGACACCTTATTCCTTAAGACAGGAAGAGAATAATGAGAAGAAGACAGAGATTTTGCAAGAACGAAGTTACTCAAAGGGAGCTCATGGTACTTAATTGTTGTTACTTTACAGATCTAAATAACAAATGGAAGAGTATTTAGATCTATAAATACTGAATACCAATTTGGACCTCATATTTATGACTGAATCATATGGTGCATTTTTAAAGAGAGTTTCCTGGCAGATAGCTGTCCTTCACTGGGTCCAGGGATGTCTGTGAAAAACAGGTAACACTTGAATTAAGACTCCTGACTATTTTAAAATGAAGTGTAGAATGGAGTAACAGCAGCATCGCAGGAAGCGGAAGCAACTCTGGCCATGACAGTGGTCAAGTGGGGTTATAAACAGCAATAAAAAGCATTTAATGAGAGTCACAAAAATCGTTACCAAATGTTGTTCCTGGGGCATCGGAACTAAGAACAACTGGTTCAAAGCCTGTAACAGAAACTAACCAAAAGCAACAACATGAATACAAGAATGCTTAAACACATTTTTTTAAAGAACACCCTCAAGTTTTCTTTTTCTTTCTTTTTTTTTTTTTTTTGAGACAGAGTTTCACTCCTGTTTCCCAGGCTGGAGTGCAATGGCACGATCTCGGCTCACCGCAACCTCCGCCTCCCAGGCTCAAGTGATTCTCATGCCTCAGCCTCCTGAGTAGCTGGGATTACAGGCATGTGCTACCATGCCCAGCAAATGATACATAATTTTTTTAAAAAAACTTTGGAATTGATAGGGAGCATATAGTTGCTTTTGGAAGATTTGGCCCTATTAGCCAGAACAATTCATCACAGAAGGCAGTTACAACCTTTGAAATCTGCTGCAGTCTTGATATTATCCACGTGAGGTTTTCCTAGGTACATGGTTTTCTAACTGGTATGGATATTTGCTTTGGAAATTTGTTTAGACAATAAATATGAAAATATATAGAGAAATATATATGAAAGTAACTCATTGCCTTTTTTGGAAGTTGAAAAAATGCCTGTTTATGTAATCATGTCTATAACAAATGGATCACGTTTCAATGCAGATATAGCAATAAATACCCATGAATAACTATGCCAATCTTGCTGTAAACACATCTTTAAAGAGAGACTAGGAACTTCATCCAAACCAAGTCATTTAGGAGATCAGGCACACAAGTATCCCCAAGTCATGTTCTCCTGGACAGCTCTGTACGAGAAGCAGCTGCTACCCATGTCAAATAATCGGATTCTTAGAGAACATGATGACTGCTACTTCCCATCACAGGCATTTCTTTGGGACTTCACTGGGACAGCCTGCTAGGGTTCAGGCTCCTCGGCTCCTTAAACCAAGGAATCATACATTTACCCGATTTGGTCTGAGGCACTTCAGGTGTAGTTTTAGGTCTGGGACGTGGACGACGTGTCCGTTGTGCTTTAGGAGCTGAAGGAAGAAACTCTGAATTACTCTAGTGCAAGTGGCTTTGGAGACAAAACTTAGGTTTTTAAAGGTATATCCTATTTCCTTGAGATTTAAGTCCCACGTCTTTTAAGGCTAAAATATTTTCTATTTTGTTAATTTTTTTTTAACTACTGAAAATTCTTGAGAGAGACAACTTACAGATAAAATCAAGTCAAAAAGTGAAGAGACTCATACATCTTTAACTTCAAAAAACACTAGAGCCAAACTCTGGGTGATAGAGTCTCAGGCTCACACTAAACCTTTTGAGTATGCCAAAGAATCCATAATACCGTAAGAACTGTTAAGAGTTTAGTCAGCTTAGATAAGATATAGTCACCAGCAACTGTGTTTGAAATTTAGCTTTAGACGTGAATGCTGTTTAGGCAAAAATACATGACACAAATTCAAATAAGATTACATGGTAGACTCTGAGAATTCGGTCCACGCACAACTTTTGAAAGTAATAGGTAACTTCTAAGGATCACTAATCCTCTCAAAAAGCAGCAGTATAAAGTTGAAGGACAGCAGAGGATGACAAGATTGTACTACAAAGCTGATGATAATGTGATTATGATCACGACAGAATGGATTTGAAGAGAGGCCAGGAAAAATTATTCAGGAACATAGAATATCATTACCTAACGTTGTTTCTGGAACCTTGGTTCTAAAAGCGTCAGGTTCAAGGACTGCAGTAACAACTAGACAAAAATAATAAAATAAAGCAAGAGATTTAACTTGAGTATTAATTTCACAAGTCAATTTTTAAGCTTCAGAACCGAGAGAAAAGTAAGACTCGTTTTTTGCAGATTGGGCCAAATCATAGCTAGGTACCAATTAGTCTCAAAAGATGGACTTGCAAGGCAGCATTGCACTCAGCTTAACATCACTACGTGGTCAGCAAGACATTCTCCTAGATGCTTATCCGATTCCTGCTATACATTAGTGAAAGACTGTTCGACAAGCTTTTTACATATTTGCAAAATATATGCTTTTCTAACTGTGCCGGAAAAGGCATTTATCAGTCTCCTTGCACTTCTGTAGAGGTTGCGATAAATGTCTTGTTATTTACTGTTTAAATAACTACTAGTACCATAAGGAATCCATATATATGAAAGCATAAAGAATACCACGTAATTAATAAACTGCTTATCAAAATCTCAAAGTAGTCCCTGATTCAGTAAAAGTTAAGAAACTGTGAAACCTTCATAGAGATGAATAAAGAGTCAGTCCATCCTATTATGGAAGCCTGTCATTAACACTTTCAAGACTTGGTACATTTTACAAGTTGACAATTTACTAAAAATATCATTCCTTGAAACAGACAATATTGTATAGATCCTAATAAAAGTCATAAAAAATAATACTAGCAAAGAAACATTGTGCTTCCCTACATTTGATGAGGAATGAGCAGCATAAGTAAGGGACAGCTAGAGGTTCGTGCTTGAAATGCAGCTTGAAATGGTCAGTGCTGTTTAAACACATGTACAGGATCGCGTGACACAACATTGAACAGTTAAAAGCACTTTGATGTCCTGATAGTGGTCCATGCACAGTTCTCTCAAATTCAACTGATAATTTGACACAGTCTAGGATAATTTCAAGATAAAGACTATAACGGAATGATGGCAAAGGATGACAGAATGGTCTCATGACATAGTTGAAACTGACTACATTAGCATGACAATGGGCAGAAAAGCACTATTTGAAGGACACACATTCTCATTACCCATGGTTTTTGGAGCTTCAGTTCTGAGAGTAACAGGTTCGAGATCTGTAGCAGGAACTAATTAAAAGTAATGAAACAAACACTTGTGAAAAGTCACTATGTCTTTCCAGTATAATATTGCTGCAATCAGTATATAGCAATTTTAAGAAATTCTCTGAAATTTGAACTTGTTATTTGAACGTGTGACCATCTTATAGTCAGATTAACAATTTTTTTAAGACAAGTTAGTCACAGTCTACACAATCTGGCACACATCTCAATAAAGTCCACATAATATTCTCCTAGGTATCTGAGTATCTCATTCCAACTATTGTAGAAGACTGCCCTAGAAGCTTGTTCAGACATCTTACCAAATATATACTTATCTAATTGTCCTAGTAACTGTTGGCATTCTTGTGGAAGCTTTTTTTAAATTATTGTACTTTAGATTCTGGGGTACATGTGCAGCTTTAATAGCATGCTGAAAGGAGCACGAATACAATCAATAGCCTGTTTGAGAGGAGACATAGCAAAGAATAAAGCAAAGGGACTCATAGGCTGAGATTTCACGTGCCCTCAACAAATCAGGATAAAGGATAAACACACACAGCAGCTCCCTAGACAAAAACACAGGACTAGACGCGTTTTCTAGATGGGTGATGCTTCTTGGGTCAGATGCAAATTCCGAGTCATATCTTCAAGGCCTTTCTTCAATTGCTCTTATAAACCCTTCCAAATGCAGCTGTCATCTCTACTCAGAAGCAGAATCCTGCGTGTTTCACGAAACCTGTGCCGTCTAACTTGCCTCTACCCCTTTCTTTTTGACTCTTCATTTCTCAGATTTTAAGACCCAACTTCTTTCCAATTATTTATTCCTGTTCCTGTTCCTCATAACATTTTCTTTTTCTAAGCTCGTAGATGTGTATAGCATCCCTCAAGACAAGTTCAATTTGCACAGATACACTCCCTTGCTTCAATCTTTGAATGTTTCACACTGGGTCAGGTGTCAACCTCAACTATACTACAGGGTAAGATGTTAAAGACAAACTTCCTCTTCCCGTGATATCCTCACTGTTGTTGATGCGGCTGTGGGAAGATACAAGGCACTAAATTTTTTTTCTAGAAATAAAAATGCCTGGTTCTATTGAAGGCATTTTGTCTTTATGAGGACAAATGAAATAGGAAGTAGTAAATAAGACACACAGTAAGAGAGACCTGTATGCAGAAAGCACAAGGAATTCACCGGCCACACAGGTCTATCCCAACTGTGTTCTCCTTTGCTAACTCAACAGGGGGAGCAGCAGCGGATTATTCTGTGCCTTCACCCACATGGGGCTCACACAGGCCGTCAGTTCCATCACTGGCATCAGTTATAGATTCCCGAGAGCCGCTAAGATGAGCTACTTTGATCAGAAACCCAAATTTACCCGGTTTGGTTAGAGGAACCTCCGGACTCGGTGTGGTTTTAGGTTTGGGACGTGGACGACGAGTTCGTTGTGATGTTTTAGGAGCTGAAGAAAGAAAACTTTCCGTTACTACAGAGTCCGTAGTTCAGAAGCTATGAGTAGCATGACGTACGGTCTGAGATTTTTTTAACGCTTACTAGATTTTCTCATATTTCAAGAAATTTGTCTTCTTAACTTTTTAATTAGTAACCTTCACTATTATTATAATAGTATGTCTCCTTTTATAATTGAAGAAAGTTTATTGGAAGGAAATGTCATATCTAAAATGAAATTGCTAATTTAAGAGGTGAATAATAGTCAATAAGACCTCAAATAAAAGTTAAGAGTCACTGCTAAAATATGGCAGTGGTGGTCAGTTATAAGTTCTTTGACAGTCACTAAAAAAAGACCACATAATTAATGAAAATATCAATCAGAATATTACAGAGATGGCAGAAATAAGTAAACCAAACTTTAGATTCATCAAGAAACTCTCTGGTATGGTGATAATGATAGAATCAAGAAAAATGCATCTTAAAGTCACCTTTAACAAAAAATTGGTTAAAAAACCCACTGGATGACAAACTAATTTCAGATGGTTACATACCCAGAAGATAGCCTGAGTTAGGTTCATGCAGCTCTCTTAAAAACAAAGTACGATTTGTTTTAAGAGTCAGAACGTGCAATACTTTTGGGATGAAGAATGATGGAATGACAACAGAGAATGACAATGTAGTCTTAAAAAGCAGAAGAATCTGTGGCTCTGACGATGGGATGGGTTTCACAATGAGAAGGAAGAACACTTAATGAGGACAGAACGTGCTGTTTGTTACCTTGTGTTGTCACCCAGGTCTCAGTTCTGAGTGTCACAGGTTTGAGCTCTGCAGTAGGAACTGACCAAAAGCATTACAATTAACCAAGTGATTGTTTTAAAGGAACATAAACTCAAAGCTTTTCTTCAAAAATGAGTCTCATGAGTATAATACAGCTTATAGAATTATATAGCAACCTTGAAACACTGTTAAGCTAAAGAAGTAAACAGCTGATTTCATAAAATTTGGCTGTACCTGAATCAGGTACCTATTCCCTTATTCCTCACTTTCTGATTACCTAACAATCCCAAGTGGACTATGTAGGTATTGCTAAGAATTCATCTTTGGAAAGAGACAGAGGCCTTAGCATGACAAACTGAGTTGGATATTCCTCCATTCCATGCAAAGAAAGAACATGGCTTCGTATGGAAAGAACAGCTTGTGGATGTCTATCACATCAATCTCCACTGCTCCATCAGGGACCTAGGCATGGGTACACATGGTCCTAGTGAGATTCACAAGGGATTTGCCTGTCATTTTGAAGTCATACACCTTCATATCAGTGGCCCAGTTACACCGTCTCCTCTGGTTGGTCTCTACTAGCGTCTTTTCCTTCTGATTTTATTCTTCCTACCTTTCTACTCATCTGTGAACCTTGGTGATTTCAAGGTTCCATTTCTTCTTTATATTTCCCTGCTCCAAATATTTGCATACCTAGCACATCTTGTTGGGAGAACTCCAAAACCAGTCTTGAATTTGCACTGATACTGTCCCATGCCATCCTTTATTTACAAAGGAAAGGCTTCCGTTCTCAACTGTCTTACAGGTTTGAGGACCAAAATGCAGCTCTGACATCTGATGCATGCCCCAAATGTGCTAATATGATTGGGTGGATATCTAAGGCACTTAGTATTTGTTGACTTGAGCTAAGTCAGTCTCATTTTTCTAAAGAAGTTTCATTTTTAAAAGATAAATGGAAGTTAATAAAATGCCCAGTGCCAGAGAAGACTACACACAGGAAGCATGAGACATTCAGCTGCTCCGTGGACCTCCCAGCAGTGTTTCTCTTACATCCACACAGTGGGGACTGCTGCTGACCATGAGTTGTGGCTTCCCTCTCATAGGGGCGTACTGGTTACTCCCAACCACTGGGATTACTCTTGAGACCCTGCTGGCTTAGGCTGCAGGGACTCTTTAAACCAGGAACACGTGGTTTACCTGGTTTGGATTCAGGTGCTTCAGGACGTGGTGTGGTTTTTGTTCTGAGACGTGGACGACGTGTCCGTTGTGATGTTTTGGAAGCTGAAGGAAGAAGTTCTTGGATTACTACAGAACTACATGATCTGCGATTCTGGAAGGTGTGCAAGGTAAAAACATGACTTTCTACGGCTTGATAGATATTTGCCTTTTGAGATTTTTGTCACATTTGCTCCTCCTTATATTTCATCACAGAAAGCTCCTTAAGACAAAAATCACTTTTTAATTCAAGAAATAAAGATTAGAAATTTGAATGGAAATCTCATAGGGTAGCCTTCCTGGGCACCAAAAAAGTTAAGTACTATTGCCAAATTTTAATGGATAATGAAGGACTGTTCTCCTAAATCTGAGATTTACAACTTAATCTTTCATTTTTTGGCACATATTCTGTAGAACTTTTAAAATCAGAACATATTATGACCTTATTAGAGACAAAATAATACATTTCTATGCAAATAGAAAAAAGGTTAGAAATTCAGATGCACAATGAGTCCTCTTGGCTCTATGAGAGTTAACAGCTTTATCTGTCCAGGTAGGAGTTAGAGACCCACTGATATGTTTGAAATACAGCTTTATCACAAACACTGCTTACAGGTCATAAGGCAAATAGAACGTCCTCAAGTAGATTCATGCATGACTGCTTCTCTTAAAAGCAAGAGTTAATTTCAGAGTCTTCGTAATTTCAAGAAGAATATAATTGAATGGCCATCAACAATGACAGTGTTGTCACATGACACAAACTGAAACTCTACGTTTGTCAATAAGCAAAAGAAAGCTTGTTGAAAACACAGTATTATCAACGTTACCTAATGTTGTTGGGGCCTCAGGTCTAAGAGTGACAGGTTCTAGGACAGTGGCAGGAACTGACCAAAACGACATGGAAATCAAAGAGATTTTTAAACATATGAGAAGTTGGAACACTCACATGCAAACACATTTTACTAGTCTGTGAATTCTTCCAGAGAAACAAAGAAAAAAGTTTACTTCTTAACTGAGGGCAAGAGTGTGTGTGTTCATTGATGATACGGCCAAACTATAGGCATGATGAGTTTCAGGCTTAGCTTTTGAGCTATCTTGAGTAGCTTAAAGAAGTCAACATGAAATTCTATTAGGTTTTTAACTAATTAATTCTGAACAGCGTGATCACTGTTTGTAATAATCGGTAGAGCATCTGTCTGCCCTCAGCCCCGAATAAGTGGAAATCAAATACTTTTGATGTCTCTGTATCAAATCTAAGCTTCTGAATTAGGTCCTCAAAAATCCTGCTTCATCTGGCTTGAAGTATCCTTCCAAACGCACCATCATTGACAGTCATATACGACCATCTAGAAGGAGTCCATCTAGACTGGACTGTCGTTCTAGCTGACCAGCACATGTGGTCCTTCTGCCCTAGTTCATTCTTCCCTCCATTCCTCCAAATCCTCAGCGGGCCCAAGGTCCAAGTCCAACCCACCTCGATCTTTTTCTGAGATAAAACATAAAGATCATCACTTTATGTTTGTGTCAGCCAAACACATCTTTAACTCTACTCTTTCTGCAGTAAAATAACTCTCCTGCAAGCTGGCACATCACCCATGCTCGCCAGTGTCCAATGTGGGAATGGAAATACGCAAGACACTTACAATTACGTTTATCTGAACTGAACATGTTGGCTCTGCTAAAGAAGTTCTACCTTTAAGATGTGAATGGGATTTGATGGTAAGAAATAGATTATGTCGTTTCAAAGAAGAGTCTCACATAGAAGTAATAAGATATGCTGGTACCAGTTGGGTCTCACCCACACATTATTCTCCTTGAAAGCTGAGCAGAGGAGATGGTACTGCTGATGCCTCGTGCCCTTGTGCTTAGGGAGAATAAGAGCTGTTGCTGCTCAGCACTGGCACTGCCTCGGTCCCCACTGCGACAGGTTGTGAGGGGTCACACATTTACCGGGTTTGGTCTCGGGTGCCTGAGGGCTCGGCGTAGTTTTAATTCTGGGACGTGGAGGGCGGGTTCTTTTTGATGTTTTGGTAGCTGAGGGAAGAAAAAGCCTTGTGTTACTCTAGGTCTTATGATTCCGGACACTGAGAAAAGGTTTTTCCAAAGCTTGTCAGATGTCCTATAGTTCCAGGAACTTTAGTTGTTTTTAGTTTTACTTTTTCATTCCTTTTATAACGATGTGTCCTTTTATGATTTATGGTACTTTTCAGGAAAATTCATGTATACAGTAGAATTGCTCACCCAAGGAATGAAGATTAGCACTTGTATTGAGAAATTTACAGAACTTCCTTGCTGGGGAAAAAATGATAGAGCCAGAGTACTCAATGAGAAGGGATAGGAAGTTAGGGTCACTTTAAGGAAGAGACTTATAGTTTTTCTGACTTTAGTGATTCCCTAATTGTCAAATTAGTAATAAAACATATCATTACTTAAAGCACCAATAAAGAAAGAAACATACTGGGCAATTTTTTTTTAATCTAAAAACTCAGATGTGCAAAGGAGAATAAGGGTAGCTGTTATTGCTGATCAGCTTAGATATGAAATAGAGCCCAACTGGTTTTAAATTCAGCGTTAACACAGAACTCTGTTAAATGATGCATGAGATGATATGGCAATTTCCAATGTGCTACATGGCAGGTAAATGTTTTAAGCTCATGCCTGGCTCTCATAAAAACAATAGGAAACTTGTTTTTAGGAGGCTTCGGGATTCTTCAGATGATAGAAATAGTTGAATGGTCACAGGCAGTGATACTGGCTATTTTGCAGAGGAAGACACGCCACGTTATAGGTACAAGACTGAAACGACCGTACAATGAGCAGCAAAAGCAAACAGCCAGGTAATGGCAGGGTTGTTACCTAAGGTTGTTGCAGGGGTCTCGGTTCTAAAAGTAACAGGCTCGAGGTCTGTCACAGGAACTGAAGTAATAAGACAAACAAAAGAAACTGTAAAAAATGCGTGGGAGCTGCAGTATTCACATCAAAACATATCATGCTTGCGTAACACTGCCTCTAGGATAATTAAACATCTCTGGATGAAGGGCTTAGGACTGAATTATATTTCCACTCCTCCCCCAACACACCAAATTCATATTCAAAGCCCTAATCCTCATGGTAAGACCTTTAAAAAGATAATGAAGGTTAATGAGGTTATCACGGTGGGATTCCACTTCAACGGGACTCATGGACTTATATGAAAAAGAGACATGAGCTGCACACACAGAGAAAAGGACATGTGAGGACACGGTGAGGAGGTGGCCGTCTGCAAGACAAGGAGAGAGGCCTTGAGAGAAAGCACGCCTGGAGACACACTGATCTTCCACCTAATCTATACTGCTCTGTAATGGCAGCCCTTTTTCAAATGGAAAATTTCTTTCGTCTAGACTTGGCCAAACTATACCAATTATACCATCTCATGAGATGGTCATCACCTTTGGTCTCTGTAATTTAGCACCACGAGGCAAACAATTCCTCTAGTTATGGTGTTTACCTGAATATAACATGGAAGACTTTAGGATGTTTTAAGGCATTTTCTTAGTACGTTTCTAATAATTCTCAAGAAGCACGTGAAAAACTGGTTTGCACTTTAGTGGATGCTGAATAAAGAGAAGATGTACTATGTATGTTTATCAAATTATGGTTGCAGAAAAAATGATGAAATATCTAAACGGTCATCACACAAATCACTAAAAATGATTGGTGATCTTTCTGGGAGCTCCATTTTGGAAAGAACTTTTCACTTCTGTGCAAACAAAAGCACTTAGGAGGACTGGGTAAGGGGTGGCCACTCAGTCTGCGGCATCCAGTAAATCACTGTCCATGCTTAGCAGAGGGGAAACATGTTCTAGTGTGGAAAAAAGATTTTTGATGCTCATGAGAACAATGTCAGACTCAAAGAGTAAGACATTCAAGTAAGACATTCAAGCCCTCCTTCCACTTTCCACAGTGTCATCCAAATGCAGAATTACCAACAAAAATGTTTTGGCTGACCCTAGGAGGAGGATCTCTGCCTCCTCTGGTCGCCTCTACATAGATCGAATTTTTTCATCTTTGTTCATTCATGCCTTCCTATTTGTGCAAATTGTGATGTGACTCAAGGCCCAAACTCTTTCCTGGCTCTGTTGCAACCCAATTTCATTTTTTACCTTAAGACCCTGTGATAAGTCTAACACTTAACATTTATATTTCCAAGAAAAATCTTTAATTTGCAAAAACACCCTGGCTTATTCTCCTTCTCTAGGCTTTTCCTGTGGGAAACGTTTTTGTGTTCAACTAGCCCGCAGACCGTCAAGTGAAACACCTCTCCTACTACACAAAGGGAAGACCCTGCAACTGTCTTCTAAACTGACTCCTTGTCAACCATGAGGGAGTAACAGCCCTCTGGACTCCCTCACTAAGGGGTATGTGAGTTTATTATTTCTATCAATGACAGGCTCCCAGGCTCCTTAAACCAAAGATCCTATATCTATCTGGTACAGTGTCAAGAGCAGCCAGACATGGAGTGGTATTAAGATTGTGCTGTGAATGGTATGTTCACTGGGAGGTGTTTGGAGGTAGAAAAAGGTAATCATTAGTTATTTTAAATTGTATGCTTCTGCACGTTACAGGCTTAGAAAAGATCCTCTTTACGTTTTCTAAAGCTTCGCAGATTTTCCTGAACTTCAGAAAATATATCTAATGCAAAAATTTTGCTCCTACTTCAATCTTCTTCTGTTAAGATACTTCAATAACAAACTTGCAAATATGCAAATTTGACAGATTAAAGTTATTAATTCAGATATTTAGGATTAATATGTTTGTTACTTTCTCCTAGAGTGCCCTGTCTGGATTAAAAAGGTTATAAATCATCCAAATGAGGATGGAGACTAAGGGGGACTGGATACATACTAAGGATGGGGTGCATTATTTAAACCTACTAGCCTTGATCACATTATCTGCTAGATAATTCACTAAAAATATTCCTCATACATTAACAAAATGACACAAATAACAGGCAGATGACAAAGGTAGATGTTTGGGAATGGTCATATATAAGATTTTAAAAACCACAAAAATATAAACCAAAAAAAAGGAAAACATAAAAAGGGACATGTATAAGGGATGTATAAAGAAACTTCTCTATTACAGCCTGGTTAGCATAGACCAGGTGAGAGCCTCCTGAGAATATATGAAATTTCCCTTAATACAGAACTCTGATTAAGCCAAAAACAAAATGATACAAAAACAGTTTTAAGCTACAGAGCAGGAAAAGATCTCAAACTAGATTCACACATAGCTCTCTTATGAGCAAGAAACAACTTGTTTTATGTACGTTCAGCCGTCATAAAACAAAAAATGTAATTGAATGGCAATATACAGTGGAATAAGCTTGATACTGAGCAGAAAAAGCACTTGCTCAAGATCAGAAAGTGGCATTACTGAATGTTGTCCCTGGAGCCTCTTTTATAGGAGAAACTGGTTCAAAGATTGTAGCAGGAACTGGCCAAATATAATAAAGACGACATCAACAAAACAGTAAAAATTTACAAAAACTCAGAACATTCAAAAAGAATTTACCAGGTCATGATATATCTGTCCAGAGCACAAAGCAAACACAATTAGCCTCCTGAGCTGAGAGGAAATGGCACCTCTGTCCTTGGGTACCAATTCATCTCTTAGGAGGAATGGTCATTCACTTTGTATTCAGATAATTCAGATAACGGTCCATGAGGAGTACCCCAAGAGTTTTTCTTATTCTTTGGTGATCTGAACCTAACTAACAGAGCATAATAGACCATACACATTTTGCTGAAAACTCATCTTTGGAACAACACCATGAGCTTTGTCCAACTTGAGTACTTCAGAGAGCAAGAGGGCTAGCCATCAGTCTGTGATATCCTAACTGCACAGGGATGCGGAAGATTCCTACATAAAATCCAAACTCCTTAGGCCAGCATTCAAGA